TCAAAAAGCCACATGCTAAAAAGAGGGCGAACTAATACTGCAACAGAAAAATGTATTTTCATTTAAATTAAAAGAGGTTAATAATCTTGTAGTTTTGTCACCAATCAGCTGAGGATTCTTTTGCTCAATTCAGATAGAAATCACAAACTGGCAAAGTGTAATTCCCTTCATGCTACCGGCTCTGGGCTTTGAGTGCCAGTAACTCTCAGCCTTTAATGTTACGGCTGTTAGTGTTACAGCTCTTGACAGCTTCTAGCCACCCCTATCAGCTTCTCAGCAACTGAGGCTTATAACTCCCTTGGTGACTCTCTGGCATTCTTTCAGCAGTTTCTGCTGCTTCTCTGGAACTCTCTGCAGGTCACCTGAGATATCCACACATCTCTGCCAGTATCTAGAAATCTTCAGGGCCAGCAGTTTCTGGTGTTACCAGCTGTATTTAGAGAAGGCACTCAGCTGGAGATAAAAGTCATGAGTAGGCAGTAAGATCACGCAAGTGAGGCTTTACAGGGATCTCTCCTGTAACACAGGGGTTTGTGCAGAGGAGAAAACTCCCTTAGACTGACCTGAGGAGTATGAGGGGCACTGCTTGTATAGAAGAGCAGTGGATCACGATTGTGCAGTTTCTTGCATTTCACAGAGCTATTTTAGAACTTTTGTAGTAATGACAGAGGAGGGCATGGTCATTTGGAGGTTAAAGGTGCAGTCATTAAGGATAGATCCATGTTTCAAGCCTGCTGGCCAAAGCAAATATCTCTCAGAGCTGTGTGGGCATCTAGAACAGCCTCAGCTATCATGACAGCTCACCAAATTTAGGGAGACATGGCTCTTTTTTTTTTTTTTTTTTTTGGTACCGGGAATCAAACTTGGGTCCTTGCGCTTTCTTTTGCAGCAGCAGCAAAACCACTGAGCTAAATCCCCGGCCTACATGGCTCTTGAACTGACAGCTCTTTCTGCAAAAACGATGGAGCTGAAATAATGACTGTGCTGCTTTAAACAAGTCTCTGAGAGGGCCAGCCGTGTAGATCATGGCCCATCGATTTGGAGATTTCAAAGATATGAGAACTAGGTCCCCATCCCTCTCCAATCTTTGCCTCATTAAGTACAGTTTTCTCTCCGCACCTGCAGAAACTTGGAGTGGGGTAGGGGTGTCCTGGCTATCAGCTTAGCAGCTGTTCCTGTCAACTGAGCCCAGAGACCTGAGGAAACAATCCCAGGAGTGGTGGGAAGATGCTGGGGGCAGAAGTCCAGGACACCCTTGAAGTGAGGGGAACAAGAGGACAGCTGCCAGTTGAGTCGGGTCTCCTTCTGGCTATCAGAGAAAAAAGGAAAGGAGCAGACCTGTTTTCTGTTTTGTCATTAATATAGTGAAACACAAATAGATATTAAGCACATGGGAAACATAAGATAATTGTGCTATGGTGAGACAGAGACATAGCTCAAATATTTAATGAAAACTACTAAGTGATTAAATGCATTCTACAGAATTCAGCCAAGATCCAGAGAATGGCAGCTTTTAGCCATTATTTTATCATGAAATACATTTTAATGATACATGAGAAAAGGCAGGAAAGTTATTTAATCCACAGAAGATAACTAAATACAAACTATAAGGTCCTTCTTCATGATTTAGAAGTTGTATTTTGTTCCAATCAATTTAGAGTAGAAGCACATTGTATTGGTTTTGTTTTATTTACAAAATCTAAGGAATTGCTGCAATTGCTCAATTGTAGTTTTAGTGGTAAAGGTCTAGTGATATGTATTGGTACCTGATCAACTTGTGAAAGATGAAATAACATGGAATGACAATAACAATATACGTGCAGCAAAAGCTTCTCAAAAATACAATTTAACTATAGTATTACAAGAATCTTGTTTGCTGACCACATAGGTACTCTATATACCTTTGTTTTCTATCTTGCCAAAGAGGAACTAGGACTATTTAAATACCTAGGACATTAAAATAACTAGGTATTTAAATAACTAGGATGCTAAAAGTGCCTTTAAACATCTTGAATTTAATTCCACTGGGAAAACAAGTACAGTATAGTATTCTTACTATTGAGAAGGTAAGTCAAGACTGAAGGAAGTGTAGCATAATAAAACTTATGAATTTTATACATGTTATAAACAGAATCCCTACAATGTTATTCCAGAGTTCATTTTTCTTTTCAGTTCTAGTTCACTGGATGTGACCATGAGGGGCTCTTTGCGAATACTGAAGCCGTATTTGCACTCAGTATGAAAGACTTAATGATTCAATTGCAGTAACTTCTATGGAAGCCTACAAGCAATGGTCCTGTCTGAGGTCTCATTTTACTTGACTTACTAGAAATAGTCATCACAGTTCATCGTTTCTTTCTTCACTTGGGTACAAGTTTGTTTTTTTTTTAACACAGCTAGGCACTGTTCTCAGTCTCATCAGCTGATTCATCTCAATTTAGAGATGGAGTATTCTAAGACTTACTCAATGTTATCACTTCTCCATCTAAACTTGCTCCTTAAAGCAGCATGGTCCAATAGAAAAATAATCCAAATTACAAATGCAAGCTACATATATAATTTGAAATTTTCTAGTACTTATGTTAAAAAATTAAAAAGAAGCTGCTGAAATTCACATGTATTTTATATAACCCACTGTACCACAAATATAGTCATTTCACTAATATAAAAATATTAATAGATTTTGTTATTTTGTTTTAATACTAAGTCTTGGAAATCCAGAGTGTTGTGCTTATGGCATATTGCAACTCAGACTGGCTACATTTCATGTACTCAATAGCCTAGTCTTTGGCTATTGAATTGGAAAGCATGACACTAGATTAACCCATTCTATCTCCTAACTTAAAACACCACCTATGTGCTGAATGCTGACCATTCTTGAAATTTTATTTCTAGCTGAGACCTCTCTTCTGAACTCTAAACTTAGATATATAAGATAACATCACTCCTTGGATGCCTAATTTGTACATCTAAATTATCATGTCCAAAACTGAACTCTTGGTATCCTTCAAATTTTCCCCTTTCCAGTTCCATTACTGGTAACTTTATCATTTCAGCTGCCCAGGCCAAAACCTCTAGAGTCAATCTTGACTTCATTTTGTCTCAAATCTCACATTTAATCTAAACTCTTATGGCACTGTTAGCTCTATGTTCAGAATGTATTCAGAATCTGATGGCTCATCATTGCTTCCACTACCACTGTGGTACAAACTCCCATTATCTCATCTGGATTATTGCAGTAACATCCAAACAGAGCCCCCATAGCCCTCTCTCCTCATAGCAACCTGGTGTCCTTTAATAATGCAAACCAGATCGTTTCACTCATCTGCTAAGAATTCTCCAGTGGCTTCTGATCTTACTCAGAGTAAAAGCCAAAGTTCTTACAGTGACCTTCAGAACTCCAAATGACTTCATCTCCTACTGCTCTCCTTGGTCACTTCACTGTAACCACCCTTGCCTTCTATTCTTCCCTTAACACATCAGTCATTCTCTAGCTTGAGTTCCTTTGGATTTGCTATATTCTCTCTAACCTCCATGGCTCACTCCCTTACCTTTTTCAAGTTCTTGCTGAAGTATCATCTTCTCAAGGAATGACCTGAGTGAGTGAAAGACATGGCATGCATATAACATGATGTGAATAGGTGCCAGGAGGAAGAGTCAGAGCACTGATGCCACATGCTTTCCCTCCTAATAGAACTAAACACAACTTTCAACATTTATTGGTCAACAATTATATGTAAAACAAACATGTATATGATTGGTTGTTAATAGTGAAGGGGAACTGAAATAACTTTGTTGCTCTAGCAGGTGTTCTTGAACATTTTCAGCACATACTGGAACAAATAAATGAACCCCCTAGTCACGGAGAAAGCAGTATCTTTTAACAAACAGGTACAGTATCAGATATCCTGGAGCTTTCTTCTCCAAGGCAATCAGAATCTACAAATGTAATCCCTCAATCCAGGCAGTATTTAAATCGCTGCACAATCAGAACACTTGATTCTTGTTCTAGTTCTACTCACTTTGATGATTGAGTAAAATACTTATCTCTTTATTCTTGCAATTCTTTTATTCCTATGATAAAATGTCTAATCTCATCCAGTTCCCAATTCAGGTTAAGATAAAAGAGCAATACATACCCAGGTGTTACAGGTTGGCACAATTATGTATGCAATGTGGAATTACAGGGGGAAAAGTCTTAAATCTGAGAACTTCCATATTAGGGCCACTGCCTTCAGTTTGTGGTAATATAAGGTCCTTGATCTTTCTCCTTTTTAACCTCAACCTTCATTTAATATCACTTCAATGATTGAACTCATAGTCTATTTTAGTTCTCATTGTTCAGTTTTTCAGTCCCACCTTCCTGAAAACAAAGGAGAAACGATCAACCTGAGCCGTTACAATGTTTAGTTCACCCTAGGAATGGATGTGAGGGTTGTTGAGTAGGGAGAAAAAAGGAAAGAGGGAGCAGATGAAGGGAGAAAAAAAAAAGTGGCGCTCAATGTATAAACACATCTCAACTTAATCTAAGAAGTGTTCACTGGGTGCAAAGCAACATGCTAGTCACCATATAATGTCAACATGGGACAAGACTCATGATAAATCTCTGCCATTGAGGAGTCCTGGAATATTATTAAAATATCGTGCAGAATACATAAACTACAAGGAGAAAGAAAACTAACATTACTTCAGATGTTTTAGTATGCCAGGGGCATCCATGTATATTAACAACCCTTCCAAAAATTCCAGATCAGGTCGGAAAGAACAGGTAATCGTTCAAGGTCACTACAGCTAGAAAGTTAAGATGTTCTGGCTTTGTCCTCAGCGCAGATTCCTAAATTCAGGCTCCTTTCAGAACATCATTGCTTATGAAAGCTCCGCAGAGCGGTGGGAGGGGAGCAAGTTTTGAGTAGGTAACGTTCCAGTCAAGATATAAGGAAACAAAGAAAGCAGAAGAGCTATTTGTGCCTGACGTGGGGTTTAAAGGGTGAACCCGATATTGGGCGGGAACCAATGTGGCGAAGGAGGGGCTCTTAGACCAAGGAAGTGAAGGTCCAAAGATCTTGAGTCCAGGAGTTGAAACACTATTGTCTGGTGGGTTCCTCCCTCCCCCTCATCTTTTCCACTGGGGCTTTTCAAAAAAGGGTTGGCCAATTTCACCGTTAGACGTCTGTTATTTTTGTAAATACGAAGGCGGCGTTCTAGCCTGGGTCCCTGGATCGGGTGGCTGTCCTGGGGAGCCCGGGCACAGCCAGCCCCCGCTGGCCCGGGAAGGGCTGGTCCCGCGGACCCGGGGGATGGGGGATGGGGCGCACCTGCCCGGCGCGGGGCTCGGCGGCTGCGCGGACCGACCTCCCCCCTTCCCCGCCCGCCGGGTGTTTACGTGGAGACGAAGATGGCGGCGGTGACGGCGCGGCTCGTGCGGCGGAGGACGATTCGCCAGTGAGCGCGGAGAGTGTGATCCACCTCAGGCGGGCGGAGCGCCGGGCCTGCTTCCCGGCCCTGCGCTACCGGTCCTACCCTCGTCTGAACTGACCCTTCCTTTCCATCCCCGCCCCCTCTCTTTCTCCCACCCGCCTGTCCCGCAGAGGCCATGGAGGACGAGGAGAGGCAGAAGAAGCTGGAAGCTGGCAAGGCGAAGGTAGGCGAGCCGGAGGCGGCCGGGTGGCGGTGGGACGGGAAGGGGTGGGAGGAGGCCTAGGGAGCGGAGTTCGCTGCAGCCTCCACGCGCTGCCCTGAGAGGGATTGCTGCTGGACCTGCGTTTTTCCTTTTCCCTCGTCCTCCTCTCCCACTTCCCCAAGAAGAGGGGAAGCCCGGTGCTTACTACCTATTCGGTAATTGAATGGTGCGGCTCCCTTCTCTTGAATGCTCAAATAAAATCCCTCGTTTACTGTATTGCTGTAAGCTGGTAATTAATTGCCTTTAAATCGCCAACCTGTTTCACTTTCCTAGGGAGCTTTCTAGGTGGCACAAAGGCGTTGTGCTTTCCAGCCTGGGGATTTGTGCGCTGATCATCAGCTTGTCTTCCTTAGGTGGCACGCTAGCACTCTTGGGTGTGTGTGATTGGCCTGTGACAGCTGCCTCAGCAGCGACTTGAGTGTGCCACAAGTGCCAGCTGTGAACTTGGCTTAGGAGCGTTTTTAGAAGCGTGTCTTTGTATGTTTGTGTTTGGAGGTCTTTGTCATGGCACGCGCTCTCGTGTCATGTGAAATAGAAGTTCTGGGGACTGAAGGGTTCCACGTTCCAAGCAACACCTATAGAATTTTTGCTTTAGGTAATTGTTTTTATGTATATCTGGTGAGTTGCGATTTATGTGTGTGTATGCGTACAGAAAATCCTGTAAAGCAAATAATACAACATGGTACACGTATTGACATTCATGAAAAACTTGACGGACAAAATACAAATTGAATAGCATACTTCTTTTAAAAATTAAATGCTCGAGCATATCTTTTGGTTAGCCCGAAAGACTGTCTTTCTTCCCTACAATGAAGTTACCTTTTATAGATTATATTGTCTTTTTAGCGCCAATTGTTGGTAATCATACTTGGGCCGCAATTAAATTGTAAGATAGTTAACTGTTTTTCTTCTCATCTTTTCACCCCACGCCCAACAAAGAAAATCGGGTTAATGATTTCAGTAATCAATGAAGGGCCGTGCTGCACAGATGCAGTACTATAGTAGGTGCTCATCACAATTAGTTAAAGAAATATGTACATTAACCAGCTTCTTATTTTGCAAATGCAGTTGGCTTTCCCATAAGCTACTTCTGTCTGTGGTTGAGGCTTGAATGCTTGTATGTGGCCAGGTAGATTGTTTTTCTTCTAGAATCTGTAAATGTAGGAAAAGAGGAGGCGGCATTTTTCAGAAGGGCAAAGTCACTTACATTTGTGTACCCTGAGGGACCAGGCAAGCTGTGTGCCTCCAGGGAATTAGAAGTATAGTGCGTGGCCCTTTCAAAAGGGTTGAAATTCTGTTAGACATCTTATTTGCAACTTAAGAATTTTCACTGCCTATCATCAGAAGCATCTTTACTAAATATATATGAAGCAGTTCTCTTAAAAGATTTAGATTGGACAGTCACATTTCATAATAATTGCTTGCTGTGCACAGTTGATTTGACAAAATAGAATTGTAATTTCTTTATCTTTCAAAATTCTACTTATGAGTAATCTTTTTTGATTAGGTTAACTTGTAGATTATTTTTGTTTAGAAATGAGCCCAGTTGTTGAGAAATGTCTCTAAGACCAATAAAGCTAGATATGATTGCTGCATTATTAGCTGTACAGTGTAAAAGCACTTGAGATAATCTTTGACGATAACACCAAGAGAATTGTTTTCTAAATTATCCTAAATGTAACGGAATACTACACAGCCAGAAGACCGATACAAACATGGAAATAGAGTGAAAACAGCATTATCAAGGTGTACACATTTTCATTTGTATAAACATGCATGTTTTTAGATTAGGACTGAAAACTGTATTATAAATGTAGTCATTCAAGAGCTGGGGATAAAGAGCACAAGGCTCCTAGTTCAATCCCCAGTACTCTCCAAAATATGAAAAGTAGTCATTTAGCAAACCTGTCATGAAGTCTGATTTATGCCAAGAACTGGAAATACAGAGATGGTGACAGACTGCTGTCCTGTTGCTTATCATCCAGCGGAAGAGATAGATGCTGGGTAAGAACTACAATGAGAGAATCGGTACTGTGGCATTTTGGATGATGTTTTTCCACATTTTGTTAAAATGTTTTATGCTGCTATCGCATTTTCTAGAATATTTTACAAAGTGGGCTCTTAATATTGTTATAAACATGGCCTAGCATAGTGCTTATCAAGTAGTAGTATCCAATAAGTATTTGCTTATTGAATGCCTATGCAGGGCCACTAATAGACTCATGTCTTTAATGAACGCTGGTTATTAAGGGTTATAATTTGTTACAGTAATCCAGAATTTTCTTAATCATATTGCTGGCATCAGAAACCACTTAAAATGATCATTTTCCAAAATTTATTCAATTTGGTTCTCCAAGTACCTCATTTGTTCCTAAATATTGTATTTGATAACCTAGTTTTATGAACTACAACTTTTGAATCATTTTCACTGTAATTGTTAAGCTGTTCTATTGAAATTTTCCCTAAAATAGCTTATCCTGTATACACAGTGGAATACTTTATGAAATCTTTTATACCAACTAAAATCTACAATAGTAGAATAAATTACGGTATATAGAGTCATTAAAGTAGTTCTATAAAGACCTTTTGAGTTGGGAAATGCCCACAAATAATGCTGGGTTACAAAAAAAAAGTTACAAAAAAGGTACATGTACATACTGATACATGAAGACACTTGAAAGAAAATGAAGATGTCAGTTGTGCCTCTCTTTCTGGGTAGTGAGTTATAAGTGGTTTTAATTTTCTTTACACTTTTAGTATTTTCCAAGTTCTGTACAATCTATTCATTTTATGATCAAGGAAAAATGTTCAGATTCCATTTTTTAAAATAATAGAGGCTTACCAAACTGTAATGAAGAATATGTCATAGTGTGCTTGCCTAGCATGAGCAAAGCCCTGAGTTCAATCCCCAATACCAAAAAAATTTAAAAAGATAGACTTTTATATTGTGTGATCATCATACAGAGCTGGAACATGAGACAAAGACTAACTGGGTCTCCTAGTTTAGGATCTTAGAATTATAATTCTTACTCCAGTACTAGTATTACATGGTTGGGGTTCTATATTATTTGAGATTTATGAATCTCCTTGTTGTCAGTTCTCATGGTTCATCTAGCATTGCTCCTTCTCACATGCTTCTTCTGATGTGCTGTTTTACATTTGCTGGGACAAAAGAACCCAGAAACTGAGGTTAATAAAATGGTTTGTAAAAATCAGGGGCCAGTGGAGCCTATAGAATAGGCTTTGCAGAATTTCAGTGTTTCTTCTACTTGGTGGCTTTTTGCTTTGCTATTGGATCCTCAGCTGTGTCCCCCTCCTTGATGTTCCAAGAATCCTGACACCTGGAGATGTAAGACGTTACTGTATTATGAAGTCAGTATTTTCAGAACAGAGCTAACCTCATTTACGGCCTGCAAGAATGGCACCACATAGACTATCCTGTGTTGAATCAAACTGCTTCAACTGTACTTTAAATGACTTCAGTTTTTCCAGGTGAAATTATTTACAGTTATATAAAGAAGGCATTGTAATATTAATGAACAAATTAGGTGACAGTTGTGTATTTAGTACAAAATTACTCCTGTTAATCATATCAGGTATACTTAAAGTTCTAATATAGCATAATCCTGCAAAACCATATCATACTGGCTATTCAGCATTTTATATAATGGGCATTATTTATTAAATAATTATTAAAATTCTTGCCTACTGCATGCAGTAAATTATAATTATATGATTTTTGTTTAATAAATATTTTCAGTTTGAAGAGTAGTGCCAGTTGTATACACTGTTGAGTGTGGTGGCGAACCTATGGCATGCATGTTGTTTTTCTTTTTAAGACAAAAGATGTTAATGTATGAGTTGTTTTTCTAAACTAAAACCCCAGTATTCAGATTTAATTGCAGCGTTGGCACTTTGTGATAAATAAGTGGTTTTGGGTTGCAGTTTGGGCGCTCGTCTCTAAAAGGTTGGCCATCACTGCTCTAGATCTCGTAAGTAAACTCATACAATATATGACTTGTGCATCTCTGGTTGCTCTCAGTGTAATATTTTTACGTTCATCCATGTTGTGGTGTATATTGGTACTTAATTCCCTTTTATGGGTGAATCATATCTCAATGTGTGTATAGACAACAATTTGTACATACTTTTATCTATTGATAGGCATTTAGGTTATTTCCACCTTCTGTCGTTTTCAAGAACTGCTGTGAACATTTATAAACAATTATTTGAGTACTTGTGTTCATTTCTCTTGACAATTGAACTGCTGAGTTGGATGGCAATTCTGTGTTAACTTTTTGAGAAATCATCAAACTCTTTTCCATAGTGGCCATGCCATTTTATATTCCCATTAACAATGTATGAGGATTCCAGTTTCTCTGTATCTCACCAGTGTTTGTGTTTTCTGTTTTGTGTTGTTGTTGATGTAGCTGTCCTAGTGGAAGTAAAGTAGTATCTCATTATAGTTTTAATTTGTATTTTCCTGACTGATGATCCTGGGCATCTTTTCACATGCTTGTTGATCATTTGTAGGTCTTCTTTGAAGAAATCTTTATTCAAGCTCTTTGCCCATTTTTTAATGCAGTTGTTAAGGACTATCTTCTATATTTTTTTGTTTTTGTTTTGTTTTTCAGGCTTTCTGGGCTTACCAAAATTTAAACTGTGCCTTCTTTTGAGTGATAGTTTCTTGGTAAGTTGATTAGAGTATGATAGTAAAGTTTGATTTTTGTGTGTGTGGGTTAGTGAGTCATTCCATTCCATGGCCAGGTGCAAGCAGTTAGTCAAAGGGACACCTGTTGGATTTTTTACTTGATTATTACCAATCCATTTCCACTTTGGTTAAAAACACCCCAAAACTTTATTTTCAGTAATGAAAAGGCCTGTCATTTTTATATGTGAACATGATAGTGCAGTGTATATGTTTCACCAGTGTAAGATGTTTTTGTTGCAATTTAGACCCT